TAAAGAGGTATAAGTTTCAATCTCTGTCCTACATCCAGGGACTTGGGATGCAATTTTTCTGTGCTCTGGGCCAGGCAGATGGAAAAACCACTGTAAGTTTTTTTCCCCATAGGTGTGAGCAAAAGACATTTTCCATCACATAGGTTATGCAGGTGTGGTAGTTTTTCACCTAGATGTAGCAGACCCTTCCTAAAAAATCAGTCCTGAGGACAAGAGCAGTGGTTTTGAGCAGCATTTATCTCCAGGAGCACATTTGTGTGGAAGAATGACCTTCTCCTCTACCCTATGTGCAAGACAAACTGTTAAATCCAACTCAAGGGATTTCCTTTTGTGCGGATGCAGAATAAAGTGAGTTATAAAGGAGACCAGGTGGGGGAGGAACCGGATAATTTCCGTATTTTCTACTGTGCAATAAACAATAAATAAGCTGGGGAACCCGAACCATCCAGATGTTGCTATACTGCCACTCTCAACAACCCAAGCCAACGTGGCCTGGTGAGAGATGCTGGGGATGGTCGTCAGCACCATCTGAAGGGCCACTGGTTTCTATCCTGCTCTAGCACAGCTCCCCTTTCTTGTACTGAGACAGGAGCTAGACTGAGAGTTTGAGAACTCTGTCAATACAATATGGGAATGTGAAGAGTGGGAAATTGCTTTTACCTTTTTTATAGCAGAAGGGAAATGTCTAAGACCAGATTGCAAACATTTTTATTATAGATAATTTGTATGTCTCCCTTCCCTGAAAATTTGCTATGAAGTGGACTTATATCTAGCTATTCACATTTTAAACATAATAAACATGATACTTTTGTTTATTCTTGATTTTGCCCATTGATTTCAGCTGAACCTGGCTAGAAGAATGTAACCTGAGTGGCCAAGCATAAACCACTGTAATTAATTGATTTTTTAAAAGGGTGGTTTCAATTATAACTGATAGGTAAGAGGATTGGAATGAAAAGTTTTAATATTGCTCTTTGCTATAATAATTAACAAGCAAATATATAAACATTTGTTTTTAAACATGTCACACATACTCACAAGAATTCTGATTTTCTTCCTCCTTTTTTCCATACTGAGTTTGGTTCAGCAATTTCCTCAAGATGTTTAGTGCAACCAAATATTTTACAGAATTATAGCATAATTTAAAAAGCAGGGCATCCATCTATCATAGCCGGTGGTCACAGGCGGTCCCCAGTTTAAGAACAAATTCCATTCCCAAGGTCTGTCCTTAAGTCAAATTTGCATGATTGCCAGAACAGGTTGGGTTGTTGTATATTATTGTATAATACTGTATAAGTAGTATTGTGTAATTAACTCAAACCATTGTGTATTTAACTTGAATTTTGTTACAACAGGCTCTGTTCTTAACTATGATTCATCCTTAAATCAGGTCCTTAAACTGGGGACTACCTGTACTACAATCACTCTCTATAATAAATGTTCTATACTTAAAAGTAAATAAAACATTCCATTCTTTTTTTTAAGCTTAATTTGGCTTGTTTTTGAAATAATAATGAAAAATGAACCTTGGTGAATTAAGACCAGTTGATACTCATGTGATTGATTACGTGACATCAAGTTGTTGTTGACTCTTAATGATCAGATTTTCTCCATACACATGTACAAATGTATCAAAAGTTTTTTATATGAATATGTTGAGAGTTTTCTACTTTAGATGACAGGGAATTAAAAATAATGCTAAATGTTAGTGTTTGCTTAGAAAGAGGCAGGATGAAGTAGTGACTAGAGTGCTAGAGTGGGACAAGAACTGTGGAGGTTCAGATTCAAGTCCATCCACATGATTCCAGCCACTGAGTGACTTTGGGCTAATCATTAATGTATTTCATAAAATAAAACAGAATGTATGTCAGCAATCTATATTTTCATAGTGATTTACATGCCATTCTGTACTGTACTGTCAGTCCAGATGACATTTCTATGCTGGGGTGGGGAACCTGAACAACTTCCAGCAACTGTAGCTATATGGCCAAAGATGAGATGCTGAGAATTTAAATTCAGCAGACACGAAAATCACAGATCCTATATTCCTGCCTTAGAAGAGCATACTGATTTAATAAGGTGCTAGTTCTAACACTTGCTTTAGAATAAGAGCACATGGCATTCAGTAGCAGTATCTCTACAGAATGAAGCATCTTTTATTTTACTGCTATCATAAGAGCAATTCATACATCTTGAAATTTCTTCCTAGACTGATGATCAGCTGTCAGTGGCAGCAGTTGAATTCCTTTGCAAACATATATGAAATAGGATTTTAAAAAGTATTTAAAAACTATAATTTCAGTAGCAAAGGGCTTTGAGACTATAATTTAGCAAACCTGGTATGGGAATTTCAATGCATCTAAAGCAGTGTTTCTCAACCTTGGGCGCTTGAAGATGGATGGACTTCAACTCCCAGAATTTCCCAGCCAGCCAGCCAACTCCCACTCTCAATTCTGGGAGTTGAAGTCCACCCATCTTCAAGCGCCCAAGGTTCAGAAACACTGATCTAAAGCAACAGACCAATTTCTTTTTCTCCTCTATAAGATAACATCTTAAAATGTCTGTGTCATGTGATATACCATCAGGACTATAAAGTTAGAAAGATTTTCATTATTTAATCTGAGAAGAGCAAATTTTCACTTTAGGATTTTAGATCTATAACTCAGAAGTTATGGTAGTCACCAAGAGTTTTCTTTGGGTAGAGATTATGAGTGAAATCATGACTTCATTGAAATCACTGAGCAAACTGCTGTTTTCAACCTAAGGCTAACATTTCATTTAGCTTTTGACTGTTACACAGCTGTCTGAATAAAGGCAGAAAATATATGCATGATGTAAATAAACAAACAAACTGAAATAACAAAGCAACATCTGTAAAAAACTATTAGCTAGCATTTAATCTCCATTAATGGAAATATCTACCCATGAAAGAAGACAAACAAATAAAGGAGCTTCAAGGAACAGAATATAAGTAATTGAACCAGATCACGTGGATTGCCATGCAATTAAGTCAAATCTTATGCAGAAATAGAATTACCTGGATTGTCATGAAGAACTAATAAATACTTTGAGACTTAATGACCAGACATTGGCTTTTTTAGAAATGACATTTAGCCCCAGTATTTAAATTAATCAGATATGGATCTGAAGACACATAATTTAATAGAAAAAGCAAAAGGAATTTAAACAACACATTTTTTAAACAGATACTCTCCTGTTCTTAATATTTGGTCCAAAGTGAAATACAAGTTTGCAATTTTTTAGGTGGTACTGTATTTAGGAGAAGTAAAATTCATGAGCTATACAGTAAGACTAGTTCTCCACTGAAAGCTGTTTTGGTGCAAATAACAAAATAAAAATGTTTTTAAAAAGCTTATGGGAATTTTTGAACTCTGTTTAGCTATATAAAAAGAATGGGCAATAGATGCTTTTCCTTAGTGCTTGGCTCACTTTAAAAAACATTCTTTTAACTGGAAAAAATGTACATGAAAATCTGGCACCCTGCAAAGCCGTGCATGGACATTCAGCATCATCCTTCTAAAAAAATAAATACATAAATAAATAAATAAATAAATAAATAAGGCTTTGGACTAGGCATTCTTAGAAAACAATGGTGGAGGGCTGCAGTCCTATGTTTTGTTTGAAAATGTGTAATTTGACCAGGGGAAAATTGATAAAGCTAAACTAATTCTAAAGAGAATTCTACTGAGCCACAGAAGGCATCTCATCATTTGCATCATGTGTTTATTATATTATTTGTTAGATTTATATCCTTTTTTTTTTCCTCCAAGAGTTACACGGAGTTCTGTCTTTACTCCATCCCACAGCAGTAACACTATTGGGCTGTAGGTTGGGCTGGGAGACAAAATGACCCAAGTGAACTTCCCTAGCTGAGGGTTGACTTGAACCTGGTTCCCCCCAATCTCCTGTATTCCACTACCTTAATTCCCTACAAGTTCCTCAAATTCCAAATGTGCTCCCTGGCCTGAGAGAATGAGTGTAACTGAGAAATATGTTAAATTGGTTAAAAAAAAAAAGGAACACAGTTAAAATGCTGTTTAAATCTACTACTGCATTTTGTGATTCTAAAATAGCTGATGTATTAAATACTTTATTTAAATTAGCAGAATTATCATGGGAATCTGGCAAAAAAAAAAAAAAAAGGTTGACTAAAGTGCTTGTAATAGAAAAGATACCATGAAGATGAAGAATGGAGTTTCAAAATGTTCCATTTTCTGGATGTTAATTGCTATAATTACATTGAGATGGCAATAATTATGAGTGAACCCCTCTGCATTCAGTGTTCCTTGTGCAAAGTTGAGGCATTCAGACATTTTGCTGAATAAGCACAATTACAGGGTTTACATATTTTTAAGCCATATGCCACTGTTTACAAACCACCGTGGCCAGATTCACATCCTACTCTAAGCTAAACACAACCAATCCACGCTACAGCTTTGCACAGTATGTGAACCTTGACAATCTCCTCTGGGAGATACATTTTTAAACTTTGCATATGGTGGCAATTCTTTTGGTCGATTCACGGAATGATATTGGTACAGCATTCTGAAATTAAACAGTAACTAAATTGGGGTGAAAAATGATGTGTAAATGACACATTACTGTTAAAGAAAATAGCAGAAGTCTAAAAATAGTAAGATTTTAACAATAGTGCATACAGTAATCACAACTGTAATATAAAATTGTTAAACTCTTAGGATAAAATAATCAGCTTCATGTCATTTGGCACATTTATTACCATAAAAATAATTTTATTTCAGAACATAATGGTCTCTTATTTGCTTTGAATTTGGCAGGTCTAACAAAAGTTCAATTCCTGGTCATTAAATCTTGCCCAGTCTTAAGAGAATTTTTTTCAAGAAGCTGCAAGTGCATCCATGACATCTATGCAAATAAAAATAATTAAAGCTATGGTTCACTTCACAAAGAAATGAGAAAACACTGCAATTTTCTTAAAGAAACAGCTTAGATTTGATGGGCATGTAAAGAGAAAGCAAGATAGGTAAGATGCTCTAAGAATAAGCTGCAATTTTGCAACATAAGTCTATACAAATCCTCCAGGCAGTGGACTTGAAGGAAGTTATCTGTGTCCCAAGAAACCTGTTTTCCACAAATCCTTGATAACTGGAGATGTCCCAGCAAACCCAAATTATTTACAAAAGTATGCATTTTGCAGACTCAAAGCACCTTATTTCACACTATTATTAACATATGAATCAACATTTCATCCTTTCATGTGCAAATTCTGAAATTGAAAAGGAAAAATAAAAGTTAATTAAAATCCATTATCTACAATTATAAATGAAAGTATTAACAGTGTTAAGCATTGCAGAAGATCATCTCTGAAAAGAGCATTTTATTTTACTCAGTTCTTGCTGCATTCCTGATTTATCTTTCGTTAGGAAAAAAAGTTTTTTTGCTTTTAAATTAAAATGTACTTAAACTAAGCAACTCTTCATGCCATGCAAAAATAATATTTTATTTACTTTTGAGGCTTCCCTTTTTTAATTCATAGGCATTGCTAATTCCAGTTTTAAGAAATGAGTTTTTGTCATTATTGCTCTCCTAACTAGTCACATGCTGGTTTCCCTGGTGGGACAGTAACCAGGATCACTAGGATTTGTATGGATTTCTGGGGAAAACAAATGGTTTTCCATTTTTTGACCTTCTTGAATATTGTCCCCTGTTATTTCCCCTGCAACACGATAAATGTCTTGAGTGCAGTTATGACCCAAACTTTTGGGTGAAGAAGAGCTGACTTCAGACTCTTCTGTTAAATAGTTCCCATCCTTAAGTTTATCCCCAAAGCAGTTTGCCTTGACGTCCAACTGCCTGTTGTGCCTCATGCCAGGGATTTCCAAGAAGTCATCTTCTTCACCAGTATCTATTTCAGTGAAACTTCTCTCTTTTGAAGGGAAAGAAAAAAGTTTCTGTTTGGGAAACAGAGGGCATGATTGCTTAGAAGCTACAGAAGCATCTGCACCCAGCAGGGGTCTTTCCCCCTGTGGCGAATTCTCTTCTAAGAGGATAGTGCTGATATGCTGAGGGGTGGATTGTAGGAAGTCTCCTGTTGCCAACACTGGCAACGGCCTTGTAGTGCTTGGTGGGGTTTGTGGAGCACCACCTCTGTTTTCCTTAAAATTAACCTTAAGGGACCTTGATTTTAAAGGGTTGCTTCCTTTGAGAGAACTTTTGGGACTCTCCATGGCATTGTCAAAATGAAAGTGACCATGAAGGAAAGGATGAGAACAGGTGTTCTCAGAGCTCATCACTGTATTGACATAGGAGTAATCAAAGCTGGTATCTCTGGGGGGAAACATTTTATCTTTCATGAGTGGTAAAAGCTGGGAATCCTTTCCTGTTTGGTCTTCTAAATGGGCAGACTCAGTGGAAAATCTTGGTTGCAAGTGACAACTGGAATATGGAGGAAGAGGTGACCGTTCTGTCTCTGTGAAATCAGTTGCACAGCTGGTAAAGCTGTCAATGCTAGAAGTGCTTCTCATGTCAGGGATGACTTCTTTGGGCCCTGTCACAGATGCATCTCCTTGTCCAGTAACTTCTTCCATTTCTATCTCCTCCTCATAGAGGGGAGGTTTCACTGAAGGGCCTTGGTAAGTGGAATTCAGATTAGGCTGAGACTGAGTTTTAGTAATTTCATTATATAATATTTCAAGTTTCTGAGCACTCAAGTGTTGAGGGCTGGAGGTTGCTGCTGCATTGTTTAGCTGTTCCTGGGAGTCTTGCTGGCTCACTTCCTGGTATTTGTTCTCCAAGGATTTATTAGAACTTGTGTCAGACATTGTCCTTCTGGCCCATTTCCAACGGCTTGGCGATAAGTGATTGTCATCGGGAGTTTCCTTTGAACTGGCTGCTTCCTCAGTTTTACCGTTATCAACAGCTACGTCAATCAGTTCCATACTGCGAGCAAAGGCATCTTTTAAATTCATCGAGACAATGCTTCCATTTCTTTTTGCTCGTTCAAGCGCCTCCCTTCTTTTAATGGCTTTCTCCTGCCGCTTTTGCTCCTTATAAAACTCTGAGAAATTGTTTACTATGATGGGAATGGGCAGGGCTATCACCAGCACTCCAGCAATGCAACACAAACCACCAACTATTTTACCTAGTAAAGTTTTAGGATAAATGTCACCATAACCTACTGTGGTCATAGTGATTGTAGCCCACCAAAATGATGCAGGAATACTTGTAAACTTTGTAGCATCTTCATCTTTTTCAGCAAAAAATACTAGACTGGAAAATATCATAATTCCCATTGCTAAAAACAGTATCAATAAACCCAATTCATTATAACTCCTTCGCAAGGTAAATCCTAAAGATTGAAGTCCAGTTGAATGTCTAGCAAGTTTAAGGATCCGCAGTATCCTCATGATACGGAATATCTGAACTACACGGCGGACATTTTGAAACTGCAGCACACTTTTGTTGGACTCTGTGAGAAAAATGGTGACATAATAGGGCAAAATGGCTAGCAAATCAATCACATTTAATGGACCTTTGAAGAACTTCCACTTGTTTGGAGATGACAGGAAACGCAAAAGGTACTCCATAGTGAACCATGCTATACACACAGCTTCAACATGTGCTAGCTGAGGGTTGTCATTTAGCTGTCCAAATTCATCAATTACTTGAAGCTCGGGTAGAGTGTTGAGTGATAAAGCAATGGTGGATAGTACAATGAACAATATGGATACAATGGCCAAAATCTGTTAAGAAAGAAAGATAAATAAGAAAACTGTGGTTAACAAATCACGAAAAATACTTACAGTTCAACCAAAGAAACAGTACACCAACAGAATTGCAGGCCATTGTTCTTGACTCACTGCAATTAGATAAGCTCCTCTATAGCCAGAACCCCTAACTAATTCTTATGAAGTGCTAGTCCACAATACTACATATGCTGAAAACATAAATTATATGGTAATGCTATCCTAAATAATTCCAAAAGTCTATATATTTGGGAATAAGATCCATTATTACAACTCAAATTATTTCAAAAGCTTAATTAGATTATTTAGTTCAGCCTTTCTTAATCAGGTGCTTTCCAGATATGGTACATTAGACCATAACTCCCATAATTCGTAGCCAGATAAGGTATTTTTTCCTGTTGTTATCCTCAAATGAGTGCCTGTAAATATGTTTGATGTAACAAAGAAAGCAAAGGGAATTAGTTTCTGTTAAACACATACTTGATGCATCTTTAATTACAAACATACTAGCTAAAATTTCACCTTTCAATGTCAGAAGCAAGTAGAGTCAATTCTGGGGAAGCCTGGAAGCTTGTTTTGTTTGCCCTGGCTACATTGGCCAGAAGTGGAAGGATAAGATGTCAAAAGGGCATCATGTTAAGAAAGGCTGGTTAAGATCCACTCTGAATTCTGGATCATTTTAATACAGTCTCAGGTAAATACATTAATTATTTAAATAAAAATTTGTCACAAAAACAAAGCTAATTATTATTTTAGTGTCAGGCTGCTTTTTAAGGGATTTCTGTCTAAATATGATAGGCTGCATTCATATTTAATTTTTTTCAAGTTAATGTGGGTAGTAATGACAGCTCTGGAAGACACCAAGTTCGGTATTAATGCTGAAAAGAAAAACACGCTGATATTTGATTGAGCTGTCCACAGTTGTGGTGCTGAATGTTCCCTGTGGACTCAATGGTGGTACTTAGTGGTTCTTAAAGTCTTGTAATTTACATGACTTTATATGATTTTATGAAGATATACATTTTTAATAAATTCATTAAAAACAAGATCAGCAAACTTGTTTAAATAAGAAAATAAGATTTATGAATGAGTTGTCTCCAGGCAAAATAAGAAAAGAGGCTCAGATAAAGGCAATATAGATTGCAACATTACATGTTACTTACATAACATAAAAATGGAATAATAACAGGTTTGGGGGGGTTGCATTTTTTCCACTTTTTACCTTAATTTCTGATAAAATTGTGTTAAATGAGACTATTATATATTTATTTAAGTTGGGTTTATCCCATCCACATTACTATTATTGTATCCTCCAAAGAGCTGTCACTCTCTCTCAGCCCAGTCAAGGGGAGGGTATACTGTAAGCTTCTTTGATCCCCTCTACAAAATATGGAATATACTTCTAATCAATGAATGTATAAATAAATAAATCTTATAGAACCTTGTAAAATAGATAAAACACCAGATAAAAGCTTCAAGGTCACCTAACCTTCAACATAGTTTAGTAAGTACTGAAGGTTTCTCAGATCTGAGAAGACATTGGGAATTAATAGAATTAAATAGATACATACATACATACATACATACGCACGCACACACACACACACACACACACACACAGAGGAATGACTTTAAGGGAACTTAGGGACAGTTATTCTGAATAACCTATTGAGTATGGTGCAAAGTAGCCATACTCTGTACTGTAAGTACTGTATGATTAAACCTTTGCATCAACATATTAAAAAAAAAAAAGTTAAAAAATTAAAAACCTATCCACGTTCTACAGGTAGTCCCCGGTTTAAGAACACCTAGTTTAAGGATGACTGATAGTTAAGAATGGAGCCTATTGTAGCAAAATTTGAGTTAAATACACAATGGTTCGAGTTCATTGCACAATACTTATACAGTATTATACAATAATGCT